TGTACTAGATACTCATTTAGTATCAGCTTACATAATAAATTTATATAATATTAACTCGAATGTGAATATAATACTAACTTACATATTAATCAATATATGGCCAGTGGCTTGTTTTATAGTCCACAAGTATTTTTTTAGTACTGTTTTGTTTAGAAACAGAAAGGAAGACCCCATGAAATGCATTAGCCTGCCCTACATGGACCATCTGGCTCTAATTAATGAGTAATTAGCTTGTGCCACATAGCTTTCTTAGCTCTTCACAGGAATTAGCTCATTTAATGTTCAGGATAGCTTATTAAATAGGTTCTCCTATTCCCCCCATATTACAAATGAAGAAACTGAGATGCTGAGAAATGAAGGAACTAGTCCAAGATCTCACCGCCGTTAAGTGGAAGAGCTGGGCCATTGGCTCCAAAACCTTCACCCTTCACCATTCGGCTATACTGGCCTTGTTGAATCAGCCAAACACTTGGAGGAGTTGTTTTAATTGTTGGGATGGGTTTGTTTCCATTAAGACCAAGAATGTCCTTTAAAAGAATGTATAGCACTGTTGTCCAGTCAAAAACTAGATAAGGACTGGGACATTAGACCCAGGCCCCTGCCTTAGCAGCCAACTGCTCCTCAGAACAACTGTCTTCCCACTTTTCCAGCCAAGAGTGAAGCTGCCTGTGGAAAATGCCAGCTCCTCCCCACTCTCTCCCCGACCCAGGAATTCTTGGTGGTTTTTTTCAAGTTTCAAGATTGTTCCAAATTTTTCTCAAGTTATTAAATGCCATAACCTCCTGTGGAAAACTAATTGAGGAATGTGGCTAATCTCACCAGGTGGAGAGCCTGGGCCCTGGGATGAATTGAACCACAGCATGGGCAGGCTCTAAAGAGGCAGAAAGGAGGTGGTGGGCAGAGGCTGAGCACATCTTCTATGGGTTGAACAAATGGGCCTTTTTCAAGCTCTCACAGGGTCCTTTTGCCTGGCTTCTCTTCTTTATTGTGATCATGACTATCAAGGTCACGGAAATTCTTAGAAACCCAAGCTGTGGCAGTCTACTCACTGGTCGGTTTATAATACCCAGACTCACTAACGGGATTTCTTCTGATTTCTAAAGGAGTTTTTCATAGTACAGGGGAAGAGGAGGGAAACGGGGAAGGAAACCTCACCAAATAACATCCAACCACAGCAACTTACGGCCCTGAAGAATTTTCTAATGAAAATATGTAATTTGAAAAAGCCAGATAAATAAAACACAAATAAACAATATATATTGTTGATAGTAAGAATATTTTTTACAAAAATATCTTGGATGTAAGCAAATGTTCACAGCTTACTAAAATGCTGAGATTCCATCATAAGTTTCTGAGCCATTTTCAGCCTCTGCATATGAGCACATGGTTAGTGTTCAGAGGTATGGGAGGGGGGGCCGCTGGTGTGGAGATGCAAATGGGAACTGCCCTCTTAGTCAAGATAGGTACAGAGTGCATATCTGAAACCACCAGATTCATTCATTGAGATTGTTCACCATTAATATATAGCCTTTTAAAAAAAAAACATTTAGTCAGTGCCCACATCCCACCAATTTTCCTGAGTGCTGGTTTACGATTAAACTGCAAATTCCATTCAAAAGAAGTGTGGCAATGGCCTGCGATCTCCATTATGACATTGACTAATATATAAGGGAGAACAGAGGCTAAGCTTGACTCCAGTAGTATAGCGCTGTGATCAGAGTGCAGGCTCTAGAGCCATGCTGCCTGAGTTCAAATGCCCACATCATCTCTTTGGAACTGAGCCTTAGGAAGAGCCCAGGAAACCAGAGATTCAAATCGGTGCTCCAGCTCTTCCTTGGCTGTGTGGCCTCCAACAGACTGATCTTGCTAAATGTCAGTTTCCTTCCTAGTACATAGGATGCTAAATGCTCCTTCATGATGTTATTCTGAAAATTAAATCAAAGCATTCTGTAAGTGGCTGGTACACAGCGAACGCTCAGTCAGTGTTAGTTCCCTCCTCTGCCCTTCCTTTTCTTGTTATCAATGCTATAAAAAATATGAATGTCTATGTAGAAAGCAATGTGTTTTTCTATGTTGTTTTTTGGTCACTTCTCCAAAATTAACCCTAGTAGCTGGGGAGGTAAGAAGGACCAGAAATTGACCTTTGTCAGTTAGTAAGTAAATCATTATTATAGGTTCTAATAGGAAATGCCCCACTGATATAAGTATGGATGTATTTCACAGATGTTCACTGCCTATCAAATAAATTCATGAATTCACATGACATTCTAACTATCAATTGTTCAAATAGAAGGGACCAAAAGACAGGGACCAACTTATTTTTCCATTTACCCTCTTTACCTCTCACATCTACTGTACAGGGAGGCCTTACTGTCTTTGGTTATTCCCCAAGTGCACCTTAAACACTCCTTCCCAATTTAGATCTTTGCCATCCCATTTCTTCTACCTGGAATTCATTCTTCCCACTTTTAAACTAAGAAAAACCTAGCTACATTTTAAGGGCTACGTAGATTTAAAAAACAACACATTTCCTTATATGGCTTTTCCAAAAAGTCGTATAGTCTCCCTCCTCTGAATTAATGGAGTACCTATGATATTTTCACTTCTCACTTTTACTCTTGACTTTTAGTTATCTGTGCCTAAGTCCTCTCCTCAGCTTGGGTACATGTTCCTTGAGGGCAGGTCCTTATCCTCATATCATATGCTACACCGTTCAGGACCTGGCAAAGTAGAGATTTGCTACATACTTAATGAATTAATTTGCATTAATTAATTAATGCATGCATTTATTGTGAATATTTATCAACCACTAGAGCAAATTAAGTTCAGTGATGGACTTTTCCTTTTACAAATTTGTGATCCACATGATTCAATCATTTCTGATATCTACTTTTCTTTCCTAGCTATCATCACAAAACTGGGATAAAAGGCTAAGTATTGATTCTTCGCTCCCAAGTGGCTTCACTAGTCCTACAGATGAACTACCTCCAACTCGTATCAAGGAAAGCCACATTTTGGAAGGACTAAGAAAGCTACAGAAGCGAAAAGTATTACTTGAACCCCCATCATTGATAACCAAATGGGGTTATAAAGATTGCATGAACTCAAATGAAGGAATATATTCTCCAGGAATTAAGAGTAGCAGCCTCAAGGAGTATCCCCCCTGCAAACCAACTGACATGGGGAGCCCCTGCAAGGAGCCCCACAAGGCATTTGTTTATGACACAGATTCCCACGATGATGCCGACGAGGACTCTTCCTCCTTAGCATTGATTCAAGCCGTTCCAAACCAGGCGTGCCGGCTGCATGCTTGTAAATTAACCCACAGCATTTCTGACAGTCTATTTGGCTGGGAGCTGAATGGAAAACACTTTGCAGAAGGCACATCCTCAGTTTACCCCAGGGAAAGACCTGATAAGCTGAACAGTTGTGCCAGCAACTGTCCCTTGGAGAAGAAGCTGTGTCCAGGTGTGCAAGCACCCCAGTTACTAAGAGAGAGGGGTCCACACAGCCTGGGCCACGTGGGTCTCAATCTCCAGCTTTCAGACACGGATGACACTGAAACCCTCGATGAGTTGCATATAGATAGCAGTGATGAGAAAAGCCCTTCGGACTTGTCACTGACTGCTGACACTGACAAGTCCATGGAGAACCTGGACATCCTTATGGGACTTGGAAAATCTCAACCCGAGTCTCCTGATGAGGAGGAAAAACAAGTGCCCATCCACTTAGAGAGTAGGCCAAAGACATTTAGTTTCATTAAGCAGCAAAGGGTTGTCAAAAGGACTTCTTCAGAAGAATGTATTACTGTAATATTTGACGCAGAAGATGGCGAGCCCATTGAATTCAGCTCTCACCAGACAGGTGTTGTCACTGTTACCAGAAATGAAATTTCCATCAACCAGGCCCCAACTGGGCCCAAGGCAGAACACGTTGAACATTTACCTCAGGGAATTGCTCACTTACAGCCAGGAGCTGCTGCAAGAGACTACACTTTCTTAAAGAGACCTGAAGAGGAGACTGAGAAAAACATTCCAAAAGATGGTGTTGATAATGTCGCCACGGCACCCACTGAATTTTTCAACCCCAGGACAGTAACGCAAAATACTCAGCGACAAAAACTGGCCAAGCCGACACTTAATATGTCATGCCAGAGTAATTCTAGGTCTTCCGTATCCATGGGTGTCTATCAGAAACAAAGTCTGACGAAAATCCCTGCCAGGGGCAAGTCTTCACCTCAGAAATCAAAAATAATGGATCCAGAAGCCTCCACAAGAATCCCCTCATCTGGTCCAGTGACTCTTGAGAAATTGCCAGCCTTAGCTCCTGGGAAACTCTCACGGTTCAAGAAGACTGAAGGCTCAGCTCACCTCTTTGATGTACAGCAAGATTCACACATTCCAAAACACCCCACCCAACTTTCTCACAGCTCCAAAATGTCCAGCAGAAAGGATTGGGTCCAGCGCTCCAAGAGTCAGACTCCAGCATCACAGTTGCTGTCAAGGCCCCCCACTGAGCCTAGTGATGATGGGGAACCCCTCATGAAGGATAAACACTGTGACTCTGGGGGAGAGGCAGAGGTGAAATCACCTTCGCCCCCACCTCCTCCAGGCAGGTCAGTCTCCCTGCTCATCAGGCCCAGTTACGACTATCTGCCACCACCTTCATCTGCCAAGCCTGAAACCAGAGTCCCCAGTGAAACAGCAAGGGCTGTGTTCAAATCCCCTCCTCTGAAAGGATCCTCTGCTCCTATTATTTCTTCTAATCAGACCATGACAGAAGTGCAGAGGAAGAAACCTTCTGTGGCCTTCAAAAAGCCCATCTTCACTCACCCTCTGCCCTCCGCCGAAACAGTGATTCAAACCAGATGCTCTCCTCATACCCCCTCCAGCTCATTTGTTGTGATGGTCCCAGGGCCCCCAAAAGTCTCTCCAAAGAAAGGTGTCCCCAAAACCCCACCTCACCAAACGCTTGGGACCCCTCAAACAGACGCAGGGTTACGGACTCCCAAGCATTGTCCTTTGACCCATGAGTCACTGGAAATATCATCCTCCAAAAGTGTATCTCCAGGAAGAAAAGGACAATTGAGTGATGGTGTCTCCACATCACCCAAGCCTTCCTGCTTAGGGGTAAATGACTCATCGTCTTCTCAGGTTAACAGTCCCTCATCATCTCCATCCTCCAAAAGCCATAATGCCCCACATGGTTCTCAAAACGCCCATGAGAAAGGCTTGAAAACTCGCCTCCCTGTTGGGCTCAAAGTTCTCATGAAATCTCCCCAATTGCTCAGGAAAAGTTCCACAGTGCCAGGGAAACATGAAAAAGACAGTCTCAATGAAGCCTCTAAAAGTTGTGTGGCCACGAGCAGGTCTAAGGCAGAACACGCCGGAAATCCAACAAGCCTTGAGACACCAGCAGGTGAAAGACATGTGACTCCGCTGGGTTTACAAGCACAAGACAGTTTGGCTGAAGGGCTTCCCTTTCCAATGCCAGAGTCATTGGAAAATCACATTCCTGGGATGGATGGAAAAGATGGAGTAGAAAACAGGTCTGTGAAAAGATCCCTTTCCTCCAATAAGCCACACCTAAAACCAGCTCTAGGCATGAATGGAGCCAAAGCCCGAAGCCAGAGTTTCAGCACTCACCCAGGAGACAAGCCCCCCACACCCCCCATGGAAGGACCAGGCAAAGTCCGAACTCAGATTATAACCAACACTGCTGAGAGGGGCAATTCCCTCACCCGGCAGAGCTCCTCCACGGACGGCTCTCCCAACAAGACCCCTTCTGCCTCCATGTCTGACAGTCTCCCCAGTGCTGGGAGGCCCCTGGGGCATGCGTCCTCCAGGCAAGACTCCCTAGGGAGCACAGGCAGCTCCAGCAGCCATCATGGAAGCCCAAGCAAGTTGCCTTTGAGGATCCCTCCAAAATCTGAAGGGCTCCTCACCCCACCTGGACCAGAAGACCAGCAGGCCTATGCCCAGGGAGGATGCCCCAGTGTAGCTGCACCTGAGGAAGTTGGCAGCGACCACTGCAGGTGCCCACCCACCCCAGCAGACTGCCCACGAGCCCTGCAGAGCCCAGGGAGGACACAGCGTCCAAGCAGCTTTGAAACAGGCAGGACCCCCAAGCTGGAAACTTCTGGAAGGTATCCAGAAACTTCTACAACCAGGACTAATGCTGTGAGCCCAGAAGCTCCCCTTTCACCCACAATCGAAGAAAAGGTCATGTTGTGCATTCAGGAAAACGTGGAAAAGGGCCAAGCACAAACAAAGTCCACATCTGTGGAAGCCAAGCCGAGGCCCGGACCTTCCTTTGCCAGCTGGTTTGGTTTTCGGAGGAGTAGACTTCCCGCTCTCAGTAGTAGGAAAACGGAGGTCTCCAAAACCAAAGTGGAAAAGAAAGACGCAAAAGGCTTGGGATTTGGAAGCAAGCAGCTAAAATCAGAGAGAAAAAAAGAGAAAAAGAAGCCTGAGATACCGTGTGAGATAGAAAACGAGCTGACCAGGGACACGGAGCGGGTAGAGCCTCCAGATCGTGGCTTACAAAGCAAAAATAACGTGAAAACACCACAAGACATTTATGACCAAATGAAGTTTGAACCAAGAAATAGACCCAGCCCCATCACATGCGCAACAAAGGATACATTTATGACAGAGCTTTTGAACAGGTAACACATGGGGAAAGAGGGTGGCAATGTCGAGGGGTCTCCCCACACCCACAAGAAACGTTGTTTGCTTCCTGCTCATTAAACACCAGCCAAGCACGGTTTTCATACAAGCGGAAATGCATAGTAGCAGTCTTTTATACATTAGCCAGAATTTAAACAATGAAATAAAAGTAAGCAATAAAATGATAATTTAGTCCATGTTACTTTGTTAACCAAACCAATGGTCTTTGAAATTAAAGAATGGTTAAGTTTTATCAAGGTTGAAAGAAAATCAGCCGACACTAGGAAGCATGAATGTACCCACATGGCATGAAATGGAAGAAAATTAAACATACCTTTTTAAAGCATCTCATTGACTGTACCAAGCAAATATATACTTATACACTTTCCAGAGGAAATGACATAACCTGCTGACCTTACAGCCAGAAATGTATTTGGCAATCATTTTTCAGTGGTTTTTATCCTCCCCCATCTCACAAGCAGTCATAAAAATAAAAAGTATTATATGATCAAATCTAAATTGACACACTACTGGAATATCAGATAAAGATTTGATCAAGGCCAGTGAGAAACACTTACCACTCACAGGGTTAAAGACAAGGAGATACATGGAGGTTACTTTAAACATTAAAAGATTGGGAAGAGTAGAGTGATTGAAGAAGAGCAATGTAATTTATCAGAGGAATCACTTTCTACCTGCAGAGTTGATAAGAGAGCAGCTCAACAGACAGAAAGTGGATCAAATAATGTTTCCTGCAGGAGTGTGTTAAAGGGCAGCTCCCCGGGCTCCTGTCTCACTGGCAGCTCCATCAGCACTCAAGGAAACCACAAGAAAAACATCAAAACCAAAGCTGATGTGGAAATACCAAAAGGCTTCCTGGTAAGTGCTCCACCATCCTGGTAACTGTTAGGCCTTGTGATGGGCTGGTTCGGGCTCTTTCGACCCTTTGGCTGATGAAAATATATGGGCAAGAGATGATGGGGAGGAAGAGAAAGTTAAAGTAAAAGAGAAAAAAAAGAGAGAAAGCTCAGTGGGGACTGTAGCAAAGATGGCAGCTGAACTGCAAATGGGCCTGGCTCCCTCTGGTCATACTGCTTTCTTAGCCCTTTTCTGAATGGTGGTGTAATCACAGTGCAGGCAAATGAGGGTGCTGGTGTCATCTTCAAATTATACTCTTGTGCTGGGAATCTGTTTTGATAATTATTTCCAGCAACACAAAACAGGAATGAAGATGATAAAAGATGATTATAAAAACTAAAAGTGCTAAACTATTTAAGAGAATGTTGACTTATTTTGATGATTTGAGTTAAGCATTTTTTTAATTTTTTCTGCAAGTTGTGTGTACCAATTCATCCTACCCAAACAGAAGGTGTTAAGACTAAGAAATTATTTTTGGAACTTGACTCCCTAGCATTTAGTCTTTTCACTGAGAGGTCCAGAACTAAAACAACAACAACAACAACAACCATAATAATAACAATAACAACAATAATAATAAGGCATTTTTATTTCCCCAGGGTGTGCTAGTTTCAAATAATATTTTTGTTTTAAAATTACCTTAAACTGCACTTACTCTTCCTTGTATTGTTTCTGTTCTTGCATAATTGATTTGATGATATTCATTGTTCCTGTCTGTAAGTTTTAAAGCACTTAAACCAAAACAATTTTCTTTACAGAATTACTGTAGTCATACATTTTTATACTCTTTCAAAGGATGTTATAAAATATAGTATGTGCTACTATTTTCTTAGAGAACACTTGAAATATGAAGTTATTATACTTTTGAGTAGCTCAAAAATAGAATAGATTTTAGAAGTAATCATGATTGGTATTATTAGTTATTAATTATTAGTTTAATTATTTATTGATGTTTTTGGTTCCTTAGATTTTCACAGACATACTGTAATTTGAGACAAATGCACAATTTTGGGGTTTTTTTTTTTCAAATAGCTCTTGACTCTGAAGACCTGTAAGTCTTTTTTTTTAAACTCTCTGCAATTATATGCTGGCTATGTTCTTTGTGAAAGTTCCCCTCTTCCATTTTTACTCTTGGCTTCTATTGGTACCATCCCTTCTTTGAAAATGTAGCTGTGTTCCCAGCATTATAAAAACCACAAATTATAAGCATATCTAAGGCTGCCCTTGTAGTGTCACTGAAAGAAAAGAGCAAGAACGAATGTGTAGAAATGTGCAATATGCCAGAAATTCAATCCAACCGATTTAAAACTTTGATAGCCTTGTAGAGCCCCTTATCAGACACACTCAGTCTAACTATGCCCCATTTAATATGGTTCTGACAGCTGAGGGTATATCTGCACTGTACAGAAGTACAAAAAAAAAAAGACCCTTTGTTTGGCTTTTACAATTTCATTTTTACTTTGTTATTGCTTTCTAATGCTCAAGTAATTTGCCATGCTTTTCCTCTCTCATCTGCTGTCTTTCACAGTGTAGTAATAAGTATCCTTTGGTCCTTCCAGAATCTGCAAGAATAGTCTCATTATTTCCTATGAAGTACAAAGATTCCCTAACAACCCCAAATATACATAATCAATAGGGATATGCTAATTTTTCTAGTTAGCTGCAAGAGAAAATTAGTCATGCTGGGAAGCGTTTCCATACACAGGAATATTATTAACCTGTATAGTTGACCAGCTAGTCATTTTTTAAATGTAAAATGCAATGTTTTTCATTTCATCTCCATAATCATCAGTATGAATGGGGCTAAAGTTACTAATTTCAGAAAGGACATTGCCATAATCTCCTTTGGGACCAGTACAAGAACAGCAGTGAAAACCTATTTATTATATGTTATCAGCCTACATAGGAAGGAGATTAGATGCAAAATAAGATGTATTCTAATACCATAGCACATCAATGTGAATACCCATGAACCTTTTAAAATTCAGAGTTTAAGGGAATATTCCCCCACTAGGGCTCAAGGTAAATTTGCTGTCTGCTTAAAGTGTGTTGCAAAGAATTTTTCTCCTGGTAGTTATTTTGCATGGAAACAATAGCTGCACAGAATGCATTACATATCACAGCTTCTTTTCTGAATAAAACCATGGTTCAGAAACCTTATCACCATCCCTTACCCTTTAAAAACTAAGACTGTAGTTATGAGGGTCCAAGGCATTACAATTATTTTAATCCACAGTGATAATAGTAGAAGGATTATTTCCATACATATAACAAACCCATGTTTGTAGCAGGACTCCATTTAGTTCACTAGTAACTGCATATTCATTTTCAGGATTGTTAGACACATTCTAAAATATGTGTAAAACTCCCTTTTATGTTTTGCTGAATTAAATCTTCTCTTTCGGAGCCCTAATTATAGGCTTATGCCTCCATGTCTGCCATCCTTTACAGACCACTTAGCTCTAATTTTTGGGTAATTTAGACAAGGGCCATGGTACTTTGTACTTTTATTTAAATTATTTAAAATCATTATAAGACAGGAAAAGGCATCCCCAGGAAAGATTGTGTTGATATTGAGTAAATAAGTCAGAAAGAAATGCACTCTCCTTGCTACAAGTTTTAAGTCCTTCCCTCCTTTGGATTTAGATAATTTTCTGAAATGAGGAGTCTCAAAGGAAGAGAGTTCCATGATCCTATTTAGCTATCACTGGACAAAATAAAAATTGTTAAAATTAACAAGGTCATAAACCTTCATGCAGTGCTAAAAGATGGCCATTTTAATATGGGTATTTTAATTTAAATTATGAATATTGTCTTCACCCAGTGTCACATAGTCTGGAAAAAAAATCACATATGGTAATTAAAAAGCATTAAATTTTATCCCATTAAAATGGTATAGCAGTGATAAAATAGTACAATAATTACACAAATTATCACATTAAGTTGTGCAAAA